AACTCCACAACAACCCCTATCATGCGAACAGGGTCCGAAAACATGCTTCTATTACACCCACATCTCATAAGAAAATAATATGACTCGGACCAGCACGCTCGCATCATAAATAAACATTTATATATACTCAACCAGCACGCTCACATCATAAAGAAACATTTATATAAACTGTACTAGCATGCTCACATCATAAGAAAGCATAATCGCAATAATTCCATTTTAACGAGCATCCTTTGTAAACACACATCATTCCACAACAATTCTCAGCAGTTTAACAATACAAAATTCCACAATTATCACCGACGAATATTCAACACTACACCAAGCATACAAATTAACACAAACGAGAGTTATCTAGCACAATAGTGTATCAAAATCAATATTAAACATCACAAAACAGCACAATGGAAACCAACTAATACACATTAATGCACGCACACGCCCATTGTCTACTTACCCACGCCTAACGCTCCTAGTTCTCGAGTCGAAAGCAACCAAAATCAATTGGGTCCTTGCCGAAAACGTTGAAACGGCTTAAACGAGGGGTGGGTTACGTGTAACGGGTTAGATCAGATGTGGGTTGATGCCAAAAGTGCCCGAACGCTACTTTCGACAAGAAAATCGCGCCCAGACTTGAACAACAGCCACCACCAAAGCTTCCTGCTGCTGGCCGGCCACTGGAGACGCGCTTCACGCAGCCGAAATCGAAGAAACCGCCGGTAATACCCGGAATCCATCGAAGTCGAAAGGCCGGGAACACTGCCTGGGTTTCGCACCGCTGTACCGAGCTCACCGTCGCTGCTGTTCCGCGGAGGAGACGCTGCCGCCGTGCGCCGCCGTTGTTGTGAAAGGATGCTGTGAGCGCGAACTGTTGGCCGGACGAAGAAGGCGCCGGCGAGGAATGGTAGTCGACGGAGAAAAAGAAGGAACGATGTGGGCGGGGGTACGGCGACTGAAAGTGGGGAAGAGGAAAAGATAATTTGATTCTTTTCCCTAGGGTTTCTTTTATTTTGCCCTTTGTTTTAAAACCAAACCAACCCAACTAAAAGCTCAGCATAAACAAAACCCAAGAGAAAAACTCATCCCAACCTGAGATAAAACCAATCACGCCCAATACGATATACATAAATTTAATTAAAATTAATTTAGAATTAAATGAAAATCTCCTAATTCGAGACTAAACTAACCTGAAGGACACGGGGCGTTACATTCTTCATTATATTAATCTACATGTCGTGACAGTCCCCAACAAAATGGTATTGCATAAAGAAAAAATAGACATTTACTTGAAGTTTCTCTGCCATTGTGTTCTCAATTCATGTTCCACAATATTTTTGGGGAAGAGCAATTCTCACAACTGGTTAGAGTTCTTTTATATGTTGTTGTTAATTTTGTTGGCCACTTCACAACCTTGATATCAAAAATTAATTTCTCAATGAACATCTTGAAGAAGAGCTATTTATGGATTTACCTCTAGTTTAAAAATAGATATTGTAAACAACAAAGTGTGCAAATGGAAGAAATTTCTCTATGGCATTAAACAATTCCCTAGAGCATGGTTCGAATGTTTTGAGAAAGCAGCCACTAACTATGGTTTCTTTTAGAGCCAAGCAGATCACACAATTTTTTGTAAGCAAATTAAATGGAAATGACAAAATGGTTGTTCTGATTGTATATTATTGATGATATTATCCTTACAGGCAAGGATGATGATGAATTGAATTCTCTAAAGAAAAGAGTTGCTAATGAATTTCAAATTACAAATTTGAGAACTTTGAAATATTTCCTAGGGATGGAATTTGCTAGATCAAAAAACAACATCAATGGAATAACATTAGGATTTCGATTGATTTTGACTACGATTGACTTCCATTGCAATTGCGGATAAGTAAACGTGGCCTTAATGTGCTGCAAATAATTTCCCCTTCCACGGTTCTATCTAGTTATCTAAGTCAATCACAAAATACAGAGAAATGTAGGGAAAGCAATAAACGACACAACAAATTTATACTGCTTCATCCCAACAGTTTATGGGCTACGTCTAGTCTTCCGATGCGAGTTCCACTATAACGAGGTTGGATTACAAATCACTCTCAAATATATCTCCCCATTGATATTCACTCCCTAGAGATCCCAATAAAACCCCCTAGCTTCTAAGTATTCTAAACACAATACTTAGAAAGAGGAATGAAAATCTCACAGAATAATCGAGAACAAATTACACAAAAATATCGATCTCAATCTGCCCTTTTTGTGTTGCCAGCACTCGAGTAGCTACCACTGAAATGCCACAAGAATCTCAAAACGGCTGCCAAAAAACTTCCACGATGCCCACTTTTTGGTTCGCAGCAACATACCAAAAATATTAGTAACACACATATATATATGTTTAAAGAACAAGGGCAACATAAGTTGGTGTAATTGGGCCCCTTTTCTTGTCATTGTTTTAGGCCCAATTGTTTTTTGTTTTTGGCTCCACATCCAACACCGTCGAAAAAGTTGGGGCCACTATTAAGGGAAAGTCACAGAGCGCAATGTGGAACTATCTTACAAGTATACGACAAGTTTCTTCAACTGTATCGCAGGCAGGTAGAGCACACTGTAAGGGGAAAGTCGAGCACACCTTATGGGAACCCCAATATGGCTAAAGGTAACAACAAACTCGCCTAGCGAGCTTCTGGCACGATGTTAGGAGCATACCCCAAGATGCTACCGCACCACTTTGCCATGACAAGAAAAGGACACAGAATGTCGAGAGGGGTCCTTCCCCCCTTCCTCCGCCTTTCATTGGCTATCATTCCTCATCACTCTCTCTCTCTCATATATTAAGGAACTGGAAATCCTAATTGAGGTAAGTTGATTTTCCCTACACAACTCCTTGTGAGAATACGACACACACTCTCAAGTACATCTCAGCCTCGGATTACTACCCCTATACTATACTTGCTCCAAACTTGTTTACAGCCAACTTGTGTTCTAACTTAAGAATCAAAGTGCACGGCCAAAGCACCACAGCAATGCTAGATTTCTAGATGCAAGTAACCAAAAAGTTGAAGACAAAGATGTACATGGCACTTGTGTGACACTTACGTGGATCGACATCAACAATTTTTATAAGCGACCGAAAAAAAACATTAGCTAAGTTTGGAAAGAAACATAGTAGATTATTGATAAAAAGAAGAGAATAATTAAAATAATAACATAAAATAATAAGGTAACAGTTCTAAAGAATAATTGTGGTTATGAATATCGTCTTTTGACGACGCTGATAAATATATTTAGAGATTAGCATAAAACCAGCTATAGTTTTATTTAGAGAGAGAATATATTAGAATGATATCTAAATTTCACATGTAGAGTAAAACGACATCGTGATTATTATAGAAATTGGTGCCAATTTTTTATTTAAAACATCTTTTCCATAATTAATATCAGATTAAATCATCATCAAAGTTCCCATTATTATTGTATCATAATATAGATGTGTATTGTGGTCGTTTGTACCACACATGCAGTGCTTTTCTTTTTTTTTTTTCTCTTTTTTGAAAAATATGTGCTATGTATTGTTTGTATCCTAATCCAAGAAATCTTTATACCTAGAAATGTAACATTGGATACAAGAAACAAAAAGCTTTTCTAATCCCAAGCTTAATTAACAATTATTTTGGTATTTATTTTGAGATGAGAGACAGATTAAACATTAGCTATCTAATCCAGAAATGTTTTGATTTGGCTAGTTTGTTAGCAACATTTATCTATTGTTTAACAAAATTTCATGGCTACAACACAACTTATTAACTAATTAAGCTTTCTCAATTTAGAAAAGACACAATAATAAGTTTTATAGGTTTCAACAAACTTTAAAAAATTTGAACGTACTAAAGAGTGTCTATAAAATGAATGTTTGGGCTATTGTTCTCCCAACAAAATTGAAAAAGAGGATATCAAATCCACAAAAAAAGATCGAAAATGGGAATAACTTTGCAAGCTATTGTCTTTCTGGCCCTAGTCTTTGTGTTTTCATCTGTGTCAGCTTTTTCCCTCCCTCTATCAACACGAGTAAGGTGGATCATTGATTCGAAAACAGGACGTCGAGTGAAGCTTGTGTGCGTGAATTGGCCTTCCCACACACAGAGCATGCTGGCAGAAGGTCTAAACCATAGGCCATTGAAAGAACTAGCCGATGAAGCAATCAAGTTGAGGTTCAATTGTGTGCGTCTCACATATGCAACCCACATGTTCACTGGATATGCAAATAGGACAATTGAAGAGAACTTTGACCTTCTTGATTTAAAACAAGCAAAAGCTGGATTGGCTCAATATAACCCTTTTGTGTTGAACAAGACCATTGCCGAAGCATATGAAGCTGTTGTTGACGTGTTGGGGGCAAGTGGTTTAATGGTAATTGTTGACAACCACATAAGCCAACCGAGATGGTGTTGCTCTCTTGATGACGGCAATGGTTTCTTTGGAAACCGTAATTTTGACCCTCAAGAGTGGTTACAAGGTCTTCGCTTAGTTGTTCAACGCTTTGTCAACAAACCAATGGTATGTAACATCAAAAGAATTTCACAAATTCTCAAAACGAAACCCAAGCATTTGAAGACTAGAGACTATAATATTTTGATTAACAATTGAATATTTTTGTGGCATTTAGGTGGTAGCAATGAGCCTACGAAACGAGATACGAGGAACAATGGAAAATGCAAATGATTGGAACAATTATGTAACTCAAGGAGTAACAACAATTCACAGCATAAACTCGACAGTTTTAGTTATTGTTTCAAGCCTAAATTATGATAATGATCTTCGATGCTTAAAGGAGAAGCCCCTGAGCGTCAAGACCTTAGGAGACAAGTTGGTTTTCGAAGTGCACTTGTGATCCTTTAGTGGAGATTCTGAGAGCAAATTTGTAAAGCAACCACTAAATAATATATATGCAACTATCATGAATGGCTTCATAGACCATGCTGGATTTGTAATGGAAGGGTCAAACCCATTTCCTTTATTTGTTAGTGAATATGGGTATGATCAGAGGGAGGTCAACGATGCAGAAAATCGGTTCATGAATTGCTTCACAGCTCATCTTGCACAAAAAGACATGGATTGGGTATTGTGGGATTGGCAAGGAAGCTACTATTATAGAGAAGGTCAAGCAGAGCCAGTAGAAACTTTTGGAATTTTTGACTCCAATTGGACTCAAATTAAAAACCATACATTTGAGAAAAAGTTTCAGCTATTGCAAACTATGTTGCAAGGTAAATTATCCATTAATGAATTTGAATATATATAAGGATCCATAACAAGTAAACTGTTATGAAAGTAATATGTGAAAACAAATGCAAAATAGTTAAACAAGAGCTTTTAAGAAGACTAAATTACCATTTGTGTAACTCTTTTTTATGGCAAACAGATCCAACCTCCAATGCATCATCTTCGTATGTTATGTATCATCCACAAAGTGGCCAATGCATCCTAGCCTCCAATGACAATAAAGGAATTTTTTTGAGCAGTTGTTCCACCTCAAGTAGATGGAGTCATGGTGGTGATGGCACTTCAATTAAGATTACAACTACTGGTTTATGCTTAAAGGCCAATGGAGAAGGCCTTAGAGTATCTCTGTCAAGTGACTGCTTGAGTCAACAAAGTGTTTGGAGAGCCATTTCAAATTCTAAGCTTCATTTGGCCACTTTCACTCAAGATGGAAAGAACTTTTGCCTACAAATTGAAAGCTCCAATTCTTCAAAAATTGTGACCCGCTCTTGTATTTGTGCCAATGGTGAGCCAAATTGCCTCAAAGACACCCGAACTCAATGGTTCGAGCTTGTTGCAACCAATACATTGTAATTGGTTTTTGTATTTAATTTGTAAAATTAACAATTTACAATGACTCATCTTATGAGGAATTAGGAAACAATATTATGAATGAAATGATCATGGTCGTTCATTCATATTAGTAGGCAGCATAACTACTACGATTAACGTAATCGATTTCTATAATCTCACAATTTAATTATCTTGCGAGATCTCACGATAATTGACCAATACAAGTTAATAGATATTTAACTAATATATGTAAATAACAAATACAATTTATATTTACATTTAACATGCTCTTGCAAACTTTAAAATCAATCTATTGTGTGAAGGCTTTGGGGGATAAGTGTGCAAGTTGCATCTAGATAGGAACATATTGGAGATGGATATCCTTACGAACAAGGCATTCAAGAACGAAATAAAAATAAAGTTCAACTTTTTATTGGTGCGAGCAAGAATAAATTGGATGCTAGTCGAA